CGCAGGTATAATTTTCGTCGTCAGAGTACCGGCAAAATCGACGAGGCACACATTTCTTCTTCCGTTTTTCACAGTTTTTTTTTATATGGAGTTTGGCCGCTATAAGACGTGTTACGCCAGAGTACTAGGCTTATATTTTGAATTTTTGAGGGAACATAAATTTTCGGATACAGGGAAAAAAATTATTTTTTGTTTTTTATGTCAAGACCATGCTCATTTTTTGTAAAGTATGTATATTACTATTTGTATTATAAACATAAAAAAAAAAATAAGGAAATGCTACAAGAAGTTTTTCGTTCGCCCCATAGTGTTATAGTAAATGAGGTCGGAAACGAGAAACTTGAATTTGTCAAAATCTGTCGGTTAAATCAACTTAAGATTTAAATAGAAATTAGAAGATAGTTTTCCCTTTGGTCGTTTAAAAATTCCAAAGGAAAAAAACTCGCTATTTTCCAGATGTAAGGTAAGCACCTTTAAGGGGGGATATACATGTAAGCGGTCAAAATTTGGCCATTTTTCGTGAATTTTATAGAAAATAGTCAAGCAATCGTCGTGAAACTTTGGATATACATAGTTAAAAGTAGAATCAGAGATGATAAAAAAAATTAGTTATAAACAATATTTTATAAAATGGCGGACTTATGGAACATATGCCGTAGCGCCTCGAGCTTTGAGTTGCTGTGCTATGGACACGATAGAGCTCGTAATTCCTGTCCGAAATCCGTAAACTAAATTTTTTTGTATTCATTACACCTTTATCTTCTATTTGAACCTAAAAAACCAAAAAGAAATCGAGACAAAAAAAATTAATTTTGATTTGAAGGAAAAAATGCCATTTTCAGGTGATCAGTTTTCACTTCCCACCCTCTTAAAAAATAGTAATACTCAGTTTTATAACAACCATGTAGGTTCAAATAGAAGATAATTTCATGCTGATCATAATAATTTTTGATTCACTCCGATATGTTACATAGTTTTTTGTGAATCGTGTCCATAGCATAGGTAGAAATGCAAAAATTAGAAGCTGAGAAAAAGACGTTTAAAGTTTTTGATGCGCCCACGTTAACACTTGTGAACCTTGCGTGCATACTTCATTTGAGGCACTTAGAGTTGGAATTCGATAATGAAACTTACACACTATATTCTTAAATTAATAAACTATTTTTTAAATAAAAAAAAAAATTTGCCAAAAAAATTTTGGTTTACATGTATATCCCCCCTTAAATCTAAATTTCAGAGAAAGTGCGCAAAAGTTCACTTTTAAACTCACAGAATAAAACAAGAATTACAAATTTGTAGCTCAATTTTGATATTAGAATACACTTAATCTTTATATATTAAGAATTACAAATTACCCGAGCGGAACCATTTTAAAGAAATACTTGATTTACGAATAGAAATTTATAAAACTTAAAACTAAATTTATTAACTGCCCAATAAATGATATTGACATTCTAAGAAATTTGGAAGGTGTTTTATCAAAATCCGTCCATTCTTTTGGGAGAAACGAGCTACTAGTAATTACCTAGACGGTATTACTACGAACCCCTGGTAACTAACACCATCTAAATTATAACAAATCTTTTTAGTATATTTTAAACTTTCCAGTCATGGATGTTTGACCGAAAGGATCTAAAAACATTGTTCGGCTGGGGGGAAACTTGTTAATTCCGTTCCGTAGGATGAGCACAAAAGTTATTAAAACACTCCCGCGCCGCAGTCGTAAAACACCAAAGAAAAAAGTCACCACCAAAATGAATACCGCAAGAAAGTAGTAGGCCGTGGGGGCGTGGTTATTTTAAATGTTAACGAATGGACGTGGTCCGCTTTATTCGAGTTCATAAAAGGAATTAATTTACAAGCGCAAGTGGGAGATCAAACAACTAGGAGAGCGGGAGCGGCCGCTCAGCGATGCGACGATCGGCCAGAGCCGAAGCATCCGCTAGAAGAGCGGGAGCGCAAACTGAGAGCGAGAGCGCGAGCTGAGGAGCTTTGAAGAAGCGGGAGCGCTTCGGAGTCGCGGGGGGCGGGAACATAAGCTCCTGACCTGAACAAACATAAACTCTTGTTTAATTATGTCTATAAAGCATATACTAACAAGGATTCCTCATAAGCCGTTTTAATTATAGCCTCATTCTGAAAACCATAATCATCAAGTTGACACGGAAGGTTTATGTATGAAGCGCCATTTTTATCATTAATTAAAGCAGTCATAGCGGCATCTAAAACAAAGTTAGAGAATCATCCGCCTGAGCCGCAAGGCACCGAGGGGCGTTGCACTTGTATTTTTAGGGAACACATTCTTCTCCGGTAACCTCTCAGGAGACTGAAGAGCCTAGAGATGTGTAAATCCTGTGTGGATTCCTAGCCAGAAATGTTGTGTAAGTCTGCACTATGATTCTGGGTGAATGCATGGCTGGAGTCAGGAGGACGAGTTGGTGTCCAATTATGAATAAGGAAATATTGCGAATAAGAATATTTTGAGATATAACAAGAAAAACTGTTATAGGTTATATGTTTAAGAAACAATGGGATTATTTAGATGGAAAGATATATTATATATATATATTTATATTATATATTTTACCTTCCAAAAATGCGGGAAACAATCGATTGGACCCTAAAAAATCGATGTTTCACTAAATCCCAAAACAATCGATACTATCGATTGTGCCATCGATTGTTTTCCAACTCTATTGCAGATTGGTTTTGATATTTGTATTATAGATTTAAGGGGGTCTTCTCATTGGGCAACTTTTTTTTCGATTTTTTTTTTTGCATTTGTTTATAGTTTGGGATGTTGTGTATATGTCCCCAAAAGGATTTTTAGAAATTCGAAATACTTTAGAAGATACAGCCTTTTTTGTTAAGCAAGGTCTTCGCGAAATGAGCTTTTTCAAACTTCAAGCGCGTTTATCTCGAAACCACGTTTTTCGAACTGGCGGCCAAGATATCTCCAGTTCAACTGAACCGATTTTCATGAAACAAAGTGGAATCGACGCAGAATTGTTGCCATTCTCGGGTGACGCAACAGATTTTTTAAAAATTTTTTTTCTATTTTTTTTTTACACTAAACTACAAAAAAAAAATCGTGGCCGCCAGGACGACATCTTTTTTTTCCACCACCAAGTTTGATGTCTCATTACTCTTTGAACAACCCTCGTATCGAGGCAAAACAATTTTTTTATTTACTTTGAACATTTTTTAATACAATAAATAAATAAATAAATATAAATAAATTTTCAATTATTCTTTGCGTTTTCAAATAAGAATTATTTTAAAAAGGGTCAAAAAAAACGGGTTTTGAATGAGAAGACCCCCTTAAATGCTAATAACACACACACAAAACAGAGTTTCATTACATTTTTCCTATACTTATTATGTTTACAGTTTGGCAGTTACAGTTTTTCACTTTCTTTACATCTTTCGATCGTTTTTATTGCAGCTATATGATGTAGTCGTCCGATCCGGCACGTTCCGGCATATATTGCACGGACATGGCTATATCGACTCGGCTGTTGATGCTGATCAAGAATTTATATACTTTACAGGGTCGGATAGGTCTCCTTCACTGCATTGCAAACTTCTGACTGAAATTATAATACCCTGCAAGTGTATAGAAATACACCAATCACTGGAGTTACCTGATTTAAATGGAAGATTTAATCAAATCAAATCAAAACACTTGCACTCTGCCAAGGCACTTCAAAACAAATGCATACAAAATGGGGACGAAACCGAAAACTGATAACGCAATTCTGATGCCTGCCAGGGTATACCCGACCAAAGTAATGCCTTGTAACTTGCACTACATTAGGCAAAAAATCAAATATGAACATGGCTATGTCAACAACACATTTTTAACAATAATAATCATTTTAATAAGTAAAATCTGAATCAATAAAATCCTAAATATTTATTAATATCCCAACTTATTTTAAAAAGAGTATTCTAACGTCGCTGCAATACACTTTGTTTTTAACACAGAATTCTTGACGCCTCTTTTGATTGGCTCTGCGATAAAATAAACAAAAATGTTTTATCTACCGGCGCACTAAAGAAAAAGTGACAAAATGAAAATTCAAAAGCCATTCTCATACATGCAGCGTTAGCGTAAGCGGATACCGGAAAAAGTACCGTTTTGCACACCTTTAACGATACCCGAAAAAGTACCGTTTGCGGTCTTTTTACGATACGTTTCATATACATTTTCGATATTTATTTCCAATTCTAATTTTTATAGAAAATCTGTTTCTTTTAAATGTAAATGAAACAAAAATTTATTTATGTTTATGATTATTTATTACTATTTAACTTCAAAATAAAAATTTAACTTTAGATTATAAACTTAAAAAACAAACATACCTCAGGTTTTTCTTTTTACTTATAATATGAATAATATTTATGAATGATTATTTATTTTTTTTATTTGTATTTCAGTAGTTTTCATTTTGTATACCCTTGCAGGCCGGATCGGACGCCTATATCATATAGCTGCCATACAAATGTATGATAAATTTTTAGAAAAAAAAAATTATAACTTGGGTGTTTTTCAATATTTTTGCATAATTTTTTAGATATTGCCATTTTATATTATTTCAGAATTTTGGTAAAAATTTTATGAAAATCGGACGACTATATGATATAGCTGCCATAGGAACGATCGGGAAATTATTAGGAAACAAATTATTGCTTCCTTGTTTTTCAACGTTTTTTCATCTACTCCCGGGATATTAGCTTATTTTATTATTCTAGAATTTTGGTATAAATTTCATAAAAATCGGACAAATATATCATATAGCTGCCATATAAACGATCGGTAGATGTAGAGAAAATGAAAATCAAATCGTCAGTTGGGATTTTTATGAATATAAAGCCAGCGAACCATAGCCAACCAATTGTTTATAATAAATCGAATAAGTCACATATTATATCCATTAGAAATGGCGCATGAAGTAGGGAATTCTCTCCACTTTCTAGCCAAATTATAGATATTCGGGTAAGTCAAAGAAAAACATTACCGGAGATAGATAAGTGTGTAAGTGTGGCTCGCATCTGAAATTTTACATCTGAATAGAGGATGGACGTAAGGACATATATTTTTATACTCATTCTCTGGGCCTTTTTCTTCGCACCTATTCAAGCCAAACGCATCTGTAAGTCAAAACGTCTCACTTTTAACGGCATCTTCCGATAACTACTTATATTTAGTTTGCAGAGGAAGGTTTGAATTTGGAGAATGTATCGATACTTCGCATCCTTGCTCTCTTCACCGGTACAGAAACATACAGTGTCCACCGAAAACCACATGCTGCGCACAGTAGGAAATATATGAGTCATCTTCAATTATATCAATGAGCCATTAAAAGTTTCAGAACGTATTATTAAGGATTTACATGGGGGTTTCAATGTTGGTTTTAAGTTAACTAAAGGCTTTGGACTACTCTGATAATAACTAGGGTGGTTGCTTTGCCTTAGCATGCTCTGGAGACGCACTCCCTAATCTTGATTGAAGGCCCATGCGAACCTTCCATTGTTGCAGGGATCGTAACAGTTATAATTTTTATAATACAAATTATGAAATAAGAGTTATTTTACAATTATATAGAAAAAATAGGAAATTAATTCTTATTCAGGCCTGCTCCGGTAATCGTAAATTTTTTTCGATTTCGTTTTGGGCGAAAACGAACCGTTTTCGTTTTTAGCTGCTCCGGTTTTCGGCAAATTTCTGCTATCGGAATGTTTCATTTTCTCATCGTTTCTTACTGCTCAAGCAGCTAACTTGTGTTGTTTGGTAACAAGTAAACAACGTAAAGTACTGCCTATTATATTTACAATTGCCCTTTTTCTAAGCCAGAAAAAGGCAAAAAATGGTAGAATTAAGCAAATCCATGCACCTAAGATGCTGCCACACTTTTCACAGTTTTAATTCCGGTGGTCTCAAGTAATTATTTGGTTATTTTGGACCATTTAAGTAATAAAATTAAATAGCATTATTTACAAACAACCATTTTGGCGGTCCTTTAAAGTTATTAATGTATTCATTTATATTTTATAAGTATTTTTAACTGGATGTTTCGTTCCACCAACAATATGGCAACCTTGGCGATAACTTTTTGCGGTGAACTTATCGACCTATCGCCAAACCGAGAAAACTGGTTGAACACGGCAAAAATTTTGTTGTCAAATCTGAGGAGGGGTCAGAAATAAATTTTTTATAAAATAACTACCTACCAGAATGATCTTATGGTGGTGTGGAATAAACATCAATAGACCACTGAGTAAACTATTTTTTTCCTTTTGTAAATAAGATCTTATTTCATATAAAAAAAACCATTTACTTTTCATTCCTGCCAGAAAAAGGTGCCCGTTTTTCAAATCGAAAAAATCTTTCGATTTCGATTACCGGAGCACCAATTTCTCGTTTTCAAAACCGAAAACGAAAAATTCTTGCCGTTTTCGATTACCGGAGCAGGCCTGATTATTCAAGTTTTATAAAAAAGTTGTAGAATAATTATTATTTTTCAATTTGTATATAAAAGTTGAGTTATAACAGTTATTTTCAATTTTTAAAATAATAATTGAAAATTAAAATTATTTTCCAATTTTTATTTTAAAAATTGAAAATAATAATTATTCTCCAATTTTTATTTTAAAAATTGAAAATAAAAATTGAATCGCAATAACTTTCCAACGGAGCGGTATATCTTAAAGATTTATATATGTAATTAATCTACGCTTCAATACCTTTCGTTTGATGTATATATTGTGGTTATTGCATGTGCACAAATATGTACATGAACATAAGTGCATATAATAAAAAATTCACCGTTTCACAAACAAACATGAATACTAAGATAATTATCTTAGGAATTTCTTGTCAGTTGGTCTTTAATCAATATGGGTCGTAAACGAGAAGTAATTGTCCGCGATTTTTTTATTTTCGATCCAAATGGTTCAAAGTGCAAAATTTGCAATCGTTTTTTCAAACTGACCTTTGAAAACACCAACCTGCGAAGACATTTACAGGAAACTCATACCATTGAGTATGAGAGCGAGATGGAGAAGGAGGGCAACGAACCCTGCGAGAAGAAAATTAAGTTTTCGGTGTCAATTTCTAAAGCTGCCGTAAAAGAAGCTTGTGTACAGCTGGTCACTGAAGAGAAGGTCCCATTCAAACTTTTAGATTCTCCGGCTTTTAAAATTTTGACCGAGCAAACCTTCAATGGCTTGGATATGAGACCAATTACATCCCGTAATGTAAAGAATTATGTTGGCGAAAGATATGATATTGAAAAGAAGAGCCTTATTACTCATTTAAAAAATAAGATACTCTCTCTCAAAATTGATATTGCGTCCAGGCATAACAAAAGTGTATTGGGCGTCAATTTACAATATTATCGGGATGGCAGCATTGTAATAAAAACGTTGGGAGTGGTTGAATTACACCAAAAACATTCCGGTTTGAATTTAAGCCTAGAAATTGAACACATTTTGGAGGAATTTGGAGTATCCAAACAACAATTGTACACAATTACCTCGGACAATGGAAAGAATGTTGTGAAAGCAATCGAACACTTAAATAGTGATACCGATGAAGATGGTTATGAAGACCAACAAAATGATGACCTTTTACAAGGTCTAAAAGTATTCTCCATATCGTCAATCAGATGTGCAGCTCATTCATTACAGTTGGCTGTAAAAGATTTCTTAAGCGATAAGGCACGGGATATTACTGTCTCCAATGCCCGAAATGCTATAAAAAAGTTGCGTACTCCGAGTTACAGGTAATAATATTTAAATATAAAGGTGACAATTTATTATATATATTTTTGTTATCTGCATTTTAGGCTTGCCATTTGTAAAGCCGGCCTTCCCCAGCCTGTATTGGATGTTCCAACAAGATGGAACTCGACTTACGCCATGCTAAAGAGTCTTTCCAACTTTAAAATCTTGATGAATGAACTCTTCACATCAAGTTCCACGTTGCCTGAATCGGAATGGGAAGCTATAGAGCTGCTTCTGGGCGTGCTGAAGCCTCTATACGAAGCAACGCTAAAACTTCAAAACGAACAGCTTTTTTTTTCCGACTTTTACAAACTATGGCTAGAAACAAAACTCACTATTCAAGCTATGTCGGATAATGGGCATAGCAAAGATATGTTGAAGTTCATAGAATGTCGAGAGAAAGCATTAGTTTCCAATGAAGTTATGGTTTCGGCAATTTATTTGGACCCTCGACTTCGCAGGATCTTTATAAAGAAGCCAGACCAACAAATGTTGGTTAGAAGCCATTTACTATCATTGATGAGACGAATGCTTCTTAAAAATAAAAAGGTAATCAAAAAAATTTTAATTTGAAAGATATCTCAAAAGGATTTATCTTCTTTACAGGTACTCCCTCAATCTATGCAACCAGTTTCGCCGCAAAGCCTGCAATCTTCAAAAACTCAGGTTGAGGTACATCCAACCTCTCAGAGTGAGGGTGAGGGAGGCTCCCTAATAAGCAAATATCTAAATTCATTCGACGAGTGCTCCGAAAATGAAACATCCGAAGAAGACCCTGAACTGAAATTGGCGGAAATGGAAATTAATAGATACTCTCCCAAGTCACTAGACCCAAATACTAACATAATGGAGTATTGGGAGAGTAAAAAATACACATATCCATGCCTTTATGCACTGGCTAAGGTAGTTCACTGTGTTCCTGCTACGGAGGTTTCTGTAGAAAGAGCCTTTTCGGCACTGAAGTTAGTGGTATCGGATTTAAGGTGCAAGCTTTCCTCAGACTCTATTAAAAACTGATGTTTTTAAATTTAAATAAAATGGGGAAATAAAAAAATATATACTTAGTTTTTTTTATATATAATAAAAACCATTTACGGATAAGGAAAAAATAACTACACTCTCTGAAAAAAAAACGTTAAAATGTTAAATTAACCGGAGCTGTTGTCAAGGTATTTTAGTATCCTTGTTTGTTTGGGGAGTGTAAATGCATTACGTATACGCATATTTTTATGCACATGCAATAACCACAATATATACATCAAACGAAAGGTATTAAAGCGTAGATTAATTATATATATAAATCTTTAAGATATACCGCTCCGTTGGAAAGTTATTGCGATTCAATTTTTATTTTCAATTTTTAAAATAAAAATTGGAGAATAATATTATTTTCAATTTTTATATCCTTGCAGGGTATTATAATTTCAGTCAGAAGTTTGCAACGCAGTGAAGGAGACGTTTCCGACCCTATAAAGTATATATATTCTTGATCAGCATCAACAGCCGAGTCGATCTAGCCATGTCCGTCTGTCCGTCCGTCCGTCTGTCTTCTATATACTCTCACTGCTATATATGTCGGAACGGGCCGGATCGGACGACAATATCATATAGCTGCCATACAAATGTTCGATAAATTTTTAGAAAAAAATTATAACTTGGCTGTTTTTCAATATTTTTGCATCATTTTTGAGATATGGCCATTTTATATTATTCCATAATTTTGGTAAAAATTTTATGAAAATCAAACGACTATAAAAAAAAAAAAATATATATATCTTATAGCTGCCATAGGAACGATCGGAAATTGAATAGGAAAAAAATTATAACTTCGTTGTTTTTCAACATATTCTTATCTTCTTTTAGATAGAAGCTTCTTTTATTATTTCAGAATTTTGGTAAAATCCGCCATACCGATCGTTTGGTAAATGTAGCGAAAATGTAAAGCTGGGAATGTAAAACTGTAACTGTCAAACTGTAAACATAATAAGTATAGGTAAAATGTAATGAAACTCTGTTTTGTGAGTGTTTTCAGCATTTAAATTTATAATATAAACATCAAAACCAATCTGCAAGGGTATACAAACTTCGGCGTGCCGAAGGACATACAAGTAACTATCTAGGTACAATAACAATGACAACAACGTGACGGCTGGGTGCCAGTTAGTGCTGGAAAAACATTAATGTTAGCCTACATTGATGTTTGTGAGTACTTTCATAAAAAAATCGATTAATAATCGATGTTTTAAAAAAACAAATCTTTTTTTCTGCCTAATTTTATTTGATATCATTCAGAAAATTGTTTCTATTACAGAATAGTAGTTTATCGACTATTTTTTGGTTTTTGGCTGCTCATCGCTGGAGTGTTTGGACAAATAGTCATAAAACTTGGACTCCAAAGGAATTGCTGCCTGATCGGCATTCCGGCTCGACAAAAAATCCCAGCTTTTTTTTAACCTTGGATCCAGTATGGTCGCTACTTGAGGAATTGAACGCGTTTCATATTGATCAAAACGTTTCGGAATTCGTTCTATTATATATTCGTGTATAGAAAACCCTTCCGTGGTTTTAAGTTTGCATTTGACGTCCATGTTCC